GATTTGATGCACGAGAAAATAGTGCATATTGGACGTGAAGAAGGGAGCAAGTTGCACGTGGGGAAAAAAAACGCGCCTGATTTAAATGTCACACCTGAACCCTCACACCTCTTTAATTATATGTGAAATTATGAACATTGCTCAACATCATGAAAATTGAACCTTATTTTCAATAAGCAATCCTGAAAAATACACGGGGGTGCTTAACTTTTTTCCAGGTGTATACCTTACCTTTGTGGCCTGGCCAATTAAGTTCAATAATGCAGTTACACTTGAAACTGTTATTTCTCCAAACTTATCTGCTTACTTCTACTTGTTTATCAGTACAAGTATTATTGTGTATTAATTTATTTGTTCAGCTAATTTTTATATTATAGAAAATCTGTTCATAATAGGATTATTATTTTGTGCTGTTTACTTGGTGGTATAGTTTTTCTTATATAAATCATTCTTATAAGTAATATGTTTACACAATTCCAAAGTTGTCTACCAGCCCCGATATATCAATTAACATTATGGTTAGGTTAACATAGAGTTGTGAAATGAACCTCGCTAGTAATTATACGTGTATGCATATGCATTTAAACAGTGGTCAGAATGTTTTCTAGCATTTCTGCAATCATCAGTTCTTCCTTACCCTTGCCCCCCACTTTTAAACAAAATTAGGCACCCACGTGTGTATATACTTAAAATATATGTTTATATAGTTATATGTATAATAAACTTTAAACAGTAATCAGTTGAGCTTCTAGCTAGTGTTAATTTTGATATATATATTTTATCAATTAAGACTTGTAGTAGACAAAACTAGCTTTCTTTTGATTTTTTTTTCAGTCATTTTGTTTCTCATACACTTAATGTTAAAAGTAATTGAAACTGTTTGAACATCATTAATATAGCTTTGTCTTTTCTGATATTAGCTTACCAATTATATAAATAATAAGAATTATCTAAAGAACCAGCAAGATTAGTTACGTTCTTTCAGAATTTAAGAAATACCAAAGTTTATATAACATTTTCATTACAGGGAAGAAATTCTGACCATCATTTCACTTCTTTCTGTTGAATCTGTGGTTTTTGTTCCATCTAAAAAGGTTGGTTTCAGATTAAAGTGTGTATTTTCTATAATTAATGTAAATTTAAACAACTTTCTCATGGTGGATATTGATATTTGAAAGTAAAATATCATATAATCAAGTGAAACTTTGGAAACTTATGACCCCCATTAATATAAAGATGCACATATTAGCTTTAATTGATTTTTGGTGCATAGATTACCAATCATAAGTACAACAGAGGCTGTCTACAAACATTAAAAAATAAGTTGAGTACATTCCTGAAATTGACTGACTTTATTTTAAATAATTTAATTTGTTTTGTCATGAAACTGTTTTTATGATAAAGATAATGTATCATTTATTTTATACAGAGTGTTTGTGATAATATTTGTTTGAGAATGTAACTGTTTGTAGTTTCTTTGTGTTTTGTATCACCTTGGCATGGCAGTTTTCAATATATGATAAATTGAAGTTTATTTCCACTAGTTTTAAAAGTAGTTTTCTATCTGTTTTCTTAAGATTTTTTTTGGTAGTGACAGTATTTTTTCTCATCAAAGATAAATGATTATTGAAGAATTTAAGCTGTTACTTTCATATTCTTGAATTATTGTATATTCTAGTTAAAATTATTCTTGTGTAGGTCAGATCAGAAGTGTTCTACTTCAGAAGTTTGTTTAAACGACTTTACCATATTTTCTTTCTTAATTTCAAGAGGGAGATAGCCGTAGAGGTTCACAAGAAGTTCCAGTCTAATGAGGGAGATCATATCATGCTGATGAATATCTACAGATCTTTCAAGAGTGTGAAAGGAAACAAGGTAAAATAAGATTTTAGTTTATGTACAGACTTTTCTTCCAGTTTCTTTGTTTTTGTGCTTCTCTGCATTCCATGCTTATGGATAATGTGTTAGTTTTAATTGGAAATGAGACTTCTTTAGAATTATTGTATCCCATATCATCCTAGTCATTAATATTTCTTGTAGCTGCGTAAAGCCATTTTACAGTTTTTTCAGTTCTTAAGCAGCTTGTTGGATATGTTAGGTTTAGATCTTACAATATCCTGTTGCTAATATTTACATGGCATTTACATTTGTGTGTTAACATTTTTGTTGTTCTTTCAGTTTTGCATGTGTAACTAAAATATATTTTTACTGTACTGATTACTTTGCATGTTATTGTATTTTGTTTCTAAGTCATCTTCATTATTTTTTGAATACCTATTTATTTGTAGTGTTTTTTTTTTTTCTCAGACCAGGATATGATGCATAGTGATTACTTTTAATCTTCAAAGATATGGTGTCATTATTTTTTATTGCTATGTTTAAAGGAAAAAAGTTTTTGGTGGCATAGAGTTAAGAAATTTATCAACCTTTAAACATTGGGGACACATGCTTCTTATTTTTATGTACAATTACATAAAAATTTTCTGATTCATTGAAGTAGAAGAGGATGGACAAAAATTTAAAAGTTATTGAGAATGCTATTGTTTTATGAACAAAGTATATATTTATAGTCCTTTGTATGTGTGTGTAGTTGATACACTAGGTTATTAATACCCAACAGGTATATTTCATTCCTTAACATTAGGTAGCTTGATGTAAGTAGCTTAAAAAAACATTAATAGAATAGGATTCTTAAACATTGGTCTTTAATTTTATCAGAAATGGTGTACTGATAACTTTGTCCACCATCGGAATTTATTGATGGCTGTAGAAGTAAGGAAACAGTTGGCTGAACTCTGTAAACATGTAGGGATCCCACTGAAGTCTTGTGGTCAAGACACAGCACGTGTAAGGTCAGTAAATCTCTTTCAGACAAGTTTAAAGTTGTACCATTTTAAATGCTAGTTATTTGTAAGTGTAGTGGTTAGTCCTAAATATTGTTGAATATTTTATGTAAGGTAAAATTCTTGTGAAAACTGTACTGTATTTATTACAACGTTAGTGAATAAAGATGCTTTGAATAGGATCTCTCTTAATGTAACAGACTCGATGTCTCCTAAGTAACTGATAAAATCAGATTTTCAATAATGTATTTATATGTTGCTCCATCTAGCTCATTGAGCTTCTGTATTATACAAAAGTTGGCATGATTACCTGTATACAAAAAACAAAGTGTAGTTGAAAAAACTATTATACACCCTTCTTACTGGAGGGCAACTGGCATTATGTTCTTTGATAAAGAAAAGCATTCTTCCTTCTAAACCCCACTGAGCACTATTTTATTTTGTCCTTGGGTAGCTGACACTTAGGAGTTTTCTTACACTGAACCAACTCACTGCTATGACACCACAATTTTACAAGTGCATTGAAGATAAGATATACTTCTGTCTTTATAATATAACACACTACAATTTGACCATGAAGTGACATGCTGTACCATTTTAAGCCACTAACAAAAAGTTACCTGTATATTTTGTAGAAGGATAACTTCTAAAACATAATTATCTCCACTGCCACTTACAGCTATTACTTGACTGCCAGGGTTTCAACTTTGCCCATCTAAGCATTCGTCTGATTTTTTCTCGCTTACTCCAGTCTTTTAAACTTCACTTAATTGCTCTTGGCAATATTTGTCTCGTTGTACTCTCCACCTACATCAGTGCACCTTCTATCCTGGTACTGTATATAAGCACCTCATTCAGATAATTTTATCACTTTTTCTTCACAAAGCATTCAGACATGGATTTCTCTACAGAAGTGCTACGATGTTGTTGGGATTTATTGGGTAGAGATGCCTTGTCGGAGGAAGTTCGTCTACCTGCTGTAGCCCTTCGTGAGTTACGTGAGGCTCCTTTTATTCATCCCTTGCTGTTTGCTGGCATCCCAGAGGCATTGGAATTATGAATTGCAACTGCTTGTTGTGTGTCCTGTTCCTGGCTTCTGCTCCTTGATCTGTCGGAACTCAGAATAGATTCTATCCTTATCTTCGAGGCTTCTACGCTCAGGTAAACCATTGCCAAAGGTGTCAGTGACTACCCTATGTGGGTGGAGTCTGCACCATTTTTCTTCTGTAGAGTTGTACAAGCTATTTCTTGTCACCTTCATGCTTTGGGCCTGTGCACACACCATTATATGGATGACTGGTTATTTCTGGCTCCATCTCGTCAGTTGGTGGAACAACACACCCAGATTCTCCTTTCAGAAGCAACCAAGGCTGGCTTTCTTATCATAGCTGAGAAATCCATTCTCTTGCTGACTCAATATATTATCCATCTGGGTGTCTTTTTCAACACCTTTTTAAGACGGGCTAAGCTGACTCCCATCCAGGTTATGGAACGGGCAGTCGGGCTCTCACTCGCATCTCCTTCTCATACTGCACAGATGGTTCTCTTTCTTTTGGGGAAATGGGCATCCCTCAAATCTCTGATTCCTTTGGGACAAGCACACATGCGGTCCCTTCAGTGTTGGCTGTGTGACCAATGGATCATGAACTGCAGTCCATTGGATCATCCAGTTTCTTTAATCAGGAGCAACATCTCAAGTGGTGGTTGGATTGGACCATCGGTGTTGTTCCTATACTGCCCCCTCATCGTGAGATTCATCTCTTTACAGGTGCTTCACTTCAAGGATAGGGTGTGTATATCAACAGTAAGGAATTCCAGGGTCTATGAGTGAAAGACAAATCTTTCTTCCACATCAATATTTTAGAACTTCTTGGGCAATTGTTCAAGGTCTCGATCTATTGAAGGGGAAAATTGTCATGATTCATTCCAACAATTCTACAGTGGACTCTTGCATTTCCCATCAAGGGGGCATGCGTTCTCTTTGTTTTCTAACTTTGGATATTCTCTACTGGGCTCACTCCCATCATATCAGCCTCCTGGCTTGCAATGTTCCAGAGGTGATGAATTTATTAGCAGATTACCTGTCTTGACCCATCTGAATTCTGGCCGAATGGATGCTCCATTGTAAGGTTTTCCGGTGGATTTGCTTTCAGTTGTGGACTTCAATGATTGACGCATTTTCCACTCATTGGTTGGTCTTGGTACATCATCCTTGGGCTTTGGTGATAGATGCATTAAGTCAATATTGGACCTCTATGCCTCTCTCCCAATTCATCTGTTACCCAGAGTTCCAGCTATGATTCGACTCACTACTTGTCAAGTACTGTTGGTAGCCCCATATTGGCTAGCCTAACCATGGTTTCCTCTTCTACATTATCTTCAAGAGTGTCCACCTCTGCCACTTCCTCTTTGGCCATCTCTGTTGAGGCAACCCCAATCCAGCATTCTACACCCATACGTTCCCAAGCTGAAACTTTATGTATGAATGTTATGTGGTCCTTTGCACAACATCAGGGTTTACCTTCTAAAGTTGCCTTGTATTTGTCTCAATCTATCCTTAGACCCACAATGGCCATTTATCAATGGAAATGGCACACTTATCACCAATGGTGTCTCATGAGGAAATTGAACCCATTTCACCCAAATGTGCCCACCATATCTTGTTTTTTTTTTTTGCTTTTTGACAAAGGTCTAGCTTCGTCTACTGTTGCTTTATATGAGGCAGCTTTATCGCCTACTTTTAGATATTATAAACATCGGAAAGTATTTGAATCCTCAGTGCTATCTGGCCTTCTCAAATCATATAGAGTTCTTCGTCTCAAAAGGCCCTTTCCATTACCCAACTGGAATATTAAGGATATTACATGCTTTGTCTCAACATCCATTCGAGCCTTTTACCTCATGTATCACCTTTCCCTTAAAGTATGTTTTTGTTTCTGGCATGTGGACATTGTAGGTCAGAGTTATTTGCACCACATATGCACAGGACTCACTCCACTTATGTTTTTCTATACCCTGAGAGGTTCTTTGTTCCTAATATTCTGGCAGCCAGGGAACGGGATAAATCCTTCTCACCAATTCATATGCCAGCTATTTCTCACCTCCACGACGGATTGGACCCAGATCATTTGATATATCATGTCAGAGCCATGGGGTGTTATGTGGCTCACACTAACTCTTTTCAAGGTGCTAGAAATCAACTCTTTATTCATTGGAATCTTTCAGTTTTCTGTGATTTATCCCCAATTACTTTGACTAGATGGCTTCGCAAATTGATCCATGTTACTTATTCTGAACTTTCTTTACAGGCGAGGAAATTTCTGCATGTCACATCTCATCAGATCTGTCACATTTCTATGTCTTTAGGTGCTTGGTTGAATTTCCTACTGGAGGACATTGTGTGGGCTGGTATGTGGACTTCTACCAATACTTTTCTCTCACATTATTTGCATGATTCTGAGAATTTTTGCCTACCCCCTGTGACTGTTTTGACCATGTCTGCTAGATTATAAAGAGGGATGAGTATTTTATCTTTTCTCCTCCTCTTGTCTCTTTACTTTCCAGGGACCCTCACCTTTTTTTTTTCACTATATCTCACTCTGTGGCGAGTGTTGCCCAGACAGGTGTGCTTATATAAATCCAATTCTACACTAGCAACCAATTACACTATACTTACTATCAGTTGCAACAGGCTCTGTAGAAATGAGGTGTTCCATAAGACCATCTAGGAGCTCACGAAATGGTATTACCATTTCTGCTGGATCGCCACTTGTGAACTATCATGAGTAAAGCTAAAGGGGATGGTGCCTGTTCCTGCTGATCATTGGAATGAATAAAATGAGTAGGTTTGCTTTTAAAAATTTAGATAACTTGATTCACCTATTGCACTGTTTCCAGAGCACTGTTCCTCAGGTCTCCCCAACACACATTACCCCCGAGATTCTACTAGTGGAGCTGGGGAGTCCTTACCACACCCAGTTTCCAGTCTTTGGGGTGGTGGACAGAGGCTTTTCCCCCAGAGTGTATGAGGGATTTCCTCCACTCTTGGAGAAGATGGCGAGGTTGGGGGCCCTTCTACCCGGGTCCCAGATGTTGGTAGGAGCAGCACCAACCTATGCAGGAGCCTACTTGTAATACTGGTTCAGATTTTATACTCAACTATGTGGTTGGGGTGTGCATTGCCCTTCTTTTGATCAATATTGTTTAATATATTGTTCATAGAAGGAGGTCCACTATTTTCTTGTAATTCCAAATGTAGAGTGGTTCCATCCTGGGTCCTTGATTGAGCACAGTTTTCCACTTCCTCTCTATAATTCAGGGGGCTAGTGGAAGGCTCCTTGCCCATTTGGTTGGGGAGTGAGGATGAATGTTCATAATTCCAGACCGGATGAGTTCTGTTCCTTTGGTTGAGTAAGGTATACATGATCCTGTCATTCTGAGCCTAGATTGTTCCCTTTTGTGCTTTTTCAGGTGGAGGAGAAAGTTTGTCCTATTTGGTGTTGCTTGCTTTCTTGTCATGATTCCGGTGCTTTGGAATGCATCACTCTATGGCTACAGCTTGGGATCTCTAGCCCTTGGGATATAGGGACCAAGACCTTTTAATTCCAACCCCGAGTTGTGGAAACCTCAACTATCTGGTTGGGGCTGGCCAATAGGGATGATTACTCATGTACTATTCCACCCTTGATAGAGGAACTAAGTTCAGGGTAAAGAGCATACCTGGTCTGGATGTAGTGCAGTTCCCCCACTTGGGTACCACTCTTATCTTGGTACACTCTTGATCTATGCAGATGTTTTCTGTATGCATAATGCCTTTACCTTCCCCATTCACCTTCTCAATGTGGGATTCTAGCTATAAGTGGCAGCAGAGGTACATATGTTTTAGAAGTTAACATTTTCCTAAATTGAAAATGTATTTCCAATAATACTTACCTTTGCTGACACTCTCCTGCCCTTCCTCCCCATTAAGAGCCAGTGTTAGAGACTAGGATGGTATCAGTCTCAAAAAAGTGATAAAATTATCTGAATGAGGTGTTTATATACAGTACCAGGATAGAGGGTGCATTGATGTAGATGAAGAGGATCATGAGACAAATATTGCCCAAGGGCAAATGAGTGGAGTATAAGGGACTAGAGCAAGCAAGAAAAATTCAGACCCTTGGTTAGGTGGTCAAGTAATAGCTATAAGTTTCAGCAGAGGGAAGTATTATTGGAAATACATTTTTAATGTAGGAAAATGTTAACTTATTAGTGCAGTATAATCTACAGTATTTAACAAACTCATCTTTATACTCTAGTAATGTCACAGTTTTTGTTTTTTGCTGATCGGAAAAGTAAATGCAGAATATTAATATTTTTAACTTCTCCCAAAAATCAGTATATTTACAGAAAGTAAATGAAAGCAATTAATATTCTATTTAGTGCACTGCAGATACTAAACATGTACTCAGAGTGGAGTGTGTCACTCTAAACTGTTCTTAACTGACACAGTTACTTATGATATATTATTAGGGAAGACATCATGGGTGGGTATGGTTTATAACATATGCAGTAAGTGTAAGTTTACTGTGTGGCTACATCTGTCTTGTAGGGAACTTTGATGATGAGCTTAAAATATTCTTTGTCTCTTGACAGAAAGATACTCTTTTTGCTTTAAGCTACTCGATATACTTATTGCTATAATTAAATTTCAGAATTTAATGCTTTTTCAAGTTAGTAAAACTAGTTTGTTGATTTTAAATTTTGTTACTATTAAAATATCTAAGAAAATAAGGAATAAGAATATTATCTATGCACAAGAGCAGTTTCTATACAAACAGCAAGTAAAGATAGGAAACATGAAGTAAAAAAATGTTGTGAATATTTCCAAAAACATGATCACTCTGCATAATTAGTGACTGATATGTTTTACTAAGATAGTAAAAAAATAAATAAGTTAAGATGTCCTTGCCTTCTTTTGGAAATTTTGTTTATGTTAAGTTTATTGTAACTTACATTAATATTTTTCTCTGGTGTATAATTTATTTTCCTACATATTTCTAAGTGAAGTTGAATCGTTGTTTGTATTTGATTTCTTTTTTTCTTAAGGAAATGTCTTGCATATGGATTGTTCTTGAATGCTGCAGAGCTTCAGAGAGAAGGAGGCTATAACACAGTAAGACCACATATACATACATTGTAGTAAGGTGTTTCATTGTGACATAAACAGAAATAATGTTTATGCTTTACATTAATTGTTGAATAAAAGATTATAAAAAATTCCTGTTATTATATTTTAAAATATAGATTTTTGAGAAAAAAGGACTTAAAAGGTTGTTTTCACAAGAATTTAAGAGTTTCTTTGATTTTAGTTCAAGCTTCGTTAAGTGATAAGCTTCAATCATAATTATCAGTATTTTCTGTAAACAAGATTTTTTCTTTTGTTTATTATGTTTAATAAATGACTTCTGCTACCAACAAGTCATGGTTTTGCTAATCTAACACTAGTTGTTTCTAATTATGAAGGTTAAGCACATGATAGAATAACAATCGTGACGTTTTCTTGTCAGCAGTCAGAATGATCTTTAGCTTATAGCAATTGTTGTACCTTCTGGAGAAGCTTTAATGAGTAGTTTAAAGAATGAAACTTGTATTTCAAAAAAGCTTTAGTTTTAGTCTTTTTTTTTTAGTTTAAAAGTCTATGTTAGGTTCAAGGACTGATATTACGGAGCCAAAAAATATTGCCACAGTGCACCAACACACATGGTAGTGTGTCTTTGGCCAAAAAAACAACTTGCAGGACACACTGTGTGTTATTAACAAGAGTGATATTTTAGCAATTTTCCACCTTCTGTAGCTTGGGCTGTGGTAATCTGAGCCATCAAATATTTTCAGTGCATGTGCTCTACTGGACTCTTACTTCACATACCAAATCCATTGAGAAATACCTGAGATATAACTTCTCCAATTTTGATGGAGTTTCTTCCTATTTTTCTTCTTCACACTAAATGTACAGAAATTTTATTAGATAGAAAAACATACTTAACTTTTATGGATTTTTTTCAAATTTGGTACAATAATAGATCTTTACAACCTACAATTAGGAGTCTCATTTGGTGTGAATATAATTCGCATGTGCAAAGTTATTCAATAAAAACTGCTCAAATTTAACAAAAATATTTGTACACATCTACACAAAAAATCACATGAGCTATTGGCCTAACATTTTAACTACAGCTTCACCTAAGAGTAAAAGTGGACTGATTTCAGTTTTTTGTCATTCATGTTAAAGACAGCTGATTTAGAGCAGCAAAACTATAAGTTGAAAGGACGTGCAGATACTTAATTATTGGTTAGGCCAAGCAAACTAGACTAGCAGTTTCTTGCTCAAGTTTTCAAAAGAATCACACGGGTGGACAGTCATTATTGATTATTCATTGCCAACTTTTCAGCACAGATTTACTAAATTTTATGAAATTATCCTAATTAAAGAGCATTTAGCATCACATGATATTAGCTTAAGCAATTAGCATAAGTAATGATCTTGATATAATGGTACTGATTGCATGGGGGTTATGATAAGAAACTGTTAATATAAATTCCATGGTGTTAGTATAAAGGAAACTATTAACACTGTTTTAAAGAGGAAAAACTACCACCATATATTTTAAAGAATCTTTTTGTTTCTGTAAAGTAAAAGTCTGTTCCAAATAATAGGGTTGCAATCCTAAAGCTAATTGGTTACTATCGAGTGTCATTTTCTTATTTGATGTGGTTCATTTGGTGTGTATTGACCAAAAGTCATGATATCTAATTAGAAACATCTTAGGTGTGAAAAAAAGGTGTGGCCAAAAAAAGGATTCAGCATATTTTATTTTACCCACAATCATGCCCAAAGTTGAACAAAAAATGTGGCGTGGCTAACTAATGAATGAATATTTGCTGTAAAATCTGTATCAATGCTATAAGTGTAACTACCAGTTTGGCCACCAATTTTGATTTCATTCCTAAGGTATTTTTTATTAGATTTAGTGTTTTTCAAATGCCAGAAACTGAAATTAAAGATTATTTCAGGTTCTGATGGGCCCAAAATGATCAACATGCATTTTTGCTATTTTCTTAAAGGCCACAAACTAAAATACTACAAAATTATTAAAAGATTTCTTCTCTGATAACTTAAACAAATGATAAAAAAAGGATTAGTGCATTAAGAGTTAAGTAGAAAATATGAAAATTAATGACACTTATTAAAAGACTTGGAAATAAGTTTTAAGGGGGAAAATTAATAAATTTGGTGCAAAGCAAGTTTGCCAAAAAAAATGAAGGAAAGATATTTTGGATACACTGAAAGTTCCACCAAAATTCCAGTAGTGAGATATATCATAAATCATTTTGGTTTCACCAGAACATCTGTCCTTGTTTAATACAAATTTATTTTTGCTTGAGAATCAGTAACTGATATAGGCTTCAAGAGCAACGTTTGATAAATGTAAAGAATATAAGAATCTTAGATTTTCTTTTTGTGAATCAAGTATTAAACCTAATTGAAGATTAAAAGATTAAGTGTGTAGTCTTGAATGATTATAAAATAGGGTTGTAAAAAGACCTTTTGTCTTCAACTGTTATTCTTTTAGTGTAAAGAATAAATAAAAAACATGAAACATTTTAAATTAGTTACCTTGTTTATGTAATATAATTGTTTGATAAAAACTCAGTTTCTTATTCTTTGTTTAATATATTCTTCCATTTAGTTGTTAATTTTGTAACTACTCATTTATGGCTGTAGTTCTAACTTTTCACATAACAGTTGAGTGTAGCCAGTATTTTTGTAACTATTTACATTTGAATTAACTTTAAGGTGTAGTTTTGTAACTGGTCACTTATGGATAAACTTTAGCTTGTAGTTTTTGTAACTACTTATCTTTAAACTAACTTTAGCTTGTAATGGTGTAGTAACTGACTTATCAAGAAACTTAAACTGCAGTTATATTAAGGTTTTGAATTAGCTTTCAAAGGTCATATTTTAAAGGCTTTGTCATAACCTGATACGCCACTTTATTAATGATGATTGTTCATCATTTAAAGAATAACTTCAATTATCACTACAGGTACTTATTTAAATTTTTTATAACTGTAAATTAAGATACAGTGCATTTATGTCACTATCCATGTTTTTTCTTTTTAAGCTTCTAAAAGTATGTACATTTTGAATGTACAAAACCATTAAGGATATGTCTCAAACTTTGGATTGTAGACTTTAAATTCTAGTATGAGATAAAAGTAGTCTTGCATACTTTGTTTTATGAGATATAATATTACTTAAAACCGTTCAAATAATCTTATAACGACATTGTGAAAAACATTTTTAATGTAGCATTGGGAGAAAATACTACTACATTTTTCACATTGAACACTCAAAGCAAAACATGTGTTTGTTGGTAGAATTTAACAAAACTGAGGTATTTGAGTTTTCAATAGTAATAACTTTCAATGTATTTGTTATATTCAATAAAAACATCAAACAACTTCATAGAGACGTTGTTCTAATTATTTTATTTGGGGTTTTTGTTACTGATAGTAATGGAAAAGAATACTGAAAATCAGTATTTCTTTGAAGTTGTTTATCGTCTTTATTGAATACGGTTTCCAACCTTCAGTCAGCTATAAAAACTTTTGGTTTTAGTTATTGACACTTTTTTACACACATAATCATGTTAGTGAACGTTGAATATATGTTAGTATTGATACATGTATTTATATATAAAGAGAGAGGGGACAATCTCATCCATTAACTTACACTGCAGTAATCATAGCAGACTGTCCAGTTTCAGTGAATAATTACATACAGAAAGTTGTATGTTTTGAACTTACACTGCAGTAATCATAGCAGACTGTCGAGTTTCAGTGAATAATTACATACAGAAAGTTGTATGTTTTGAACTTACACTGCAGTAATCATCGCAGACTGTCGAGTTTCAATGCATAATTACATACAGAAAGTCGTATGTTTTGAACTTACACTGCAGTAATCATAGCAGACTGTCGAGTTTCAGTGAATAAT